TAGTCTTACACCTACTTTCCCATTTTGCAAATGGTTTGGATTCACTATTTGCACATCTAAGCTCTGCAACAGTGGTTTAGCTCCACTATTCATACACAGACACAAGGTGTATCCACATACCATAAATAACTGGTTGTGAAAGACATATAATAACCTGTAATAACCTTATCTTTCAGATTAGGATATACCTTTGTTTTTAATCAGAGCTGTGTGCTATCAGTTGGATAATTCACAACTGTTTACCTTGGAATCAGCACTATGACCCTCAAAAAACAGGATTTGTGTCCAGCACTCTTGCTCACTCAGGAAGTATTAGTGAAGACACTTGAGCTCTAACAAGCTATTAAATTTATTTTGTTTTTAACATCATTGTCAAATGCCAACTTGCATTCATGTAGAAAGCTGTCACGGGTTTTGCATGTCAGTGTGTTCTCTTCTATTTTAATTTAAATCTCTTAGTGAAAATTTCGGTATTTGCCATGTCCTTTCCCAGTCATGGCTAGGATCATTAAATCACAAGAAAATCCTGAAGGCAAGCAATCTAATAAAGCAGTGGTTAACACAGAAAGATTCTTCAAATGCTCTAGTATTCACTTGTGGATGATTTTGTTTTTTAATTTTGCCCCAAATACTCAGCCTATGTGTTATAGTTTTGTCTTTGACATGAGGATGTGTTGCTTCAAAATGGAAGCAAAGATTGGCTTCAAATTCCCTGGCAAGGCTTCTCATATAGGATACAGATCATCTCAGTGTATCTGGTTAAAGCCTGACTGCACGTAACATTCTTTTATCTGGAAATTCTGTATTATTGCTCTATGCTTCCTTGTTCTCATTTCTTATAGAGTTGTGCCAAAAGAAAAATCAGGTTGTTGTTTCTTTCTCTTCAGCACCAGTGGGTAGATCATTGCTGATGTAGATGGAAACACTTTTTTCCTTATAATCGTTCGGACTCAGCCTTCAAACTTCTTGTCCAGATCCACTGCCTACTGCAAAGAGGAACAATGTGGGGTGACTGGTAGCAGACTGGCTGAGCAACTGGAAAGATACAGAGCATTTGGTGGTCGGTGCATCCTTACTGACAAAGTGGCAGCGCTTCAGCATTTTTATTTGTTGGGCTGCTCTTTTTCTCTGACAGCCAGTACTGGGAAAGAAACGGCAGTGGCTCTGCCTACGAGAAGCTGCAAAGTATTGCCTGGAGGAACCCGTATCTCCCAATCTTCTGAGCCACTCTTGTGCTACAAGTCGGTGTAGCCAGTAAGATGGAGCCCTCCAAAGCGCCAGCTGTCATTCACTGGAATGCTGCTAAGCTACAACAACAGAAGGAGTTCACTTCTGAACACACAATGAATTTGTAGATCAACCCCCCCCCCCCCCCCCCCCCCCAGCCCCTGTAAAGCACAGGAACTTTGCATTTTGTACTGCATTATGAGAAATGGGTAGCAGGAAGGTTTTTGTCACTAAGTCAAGATGAGCATGATCAAACGTAATCTCTGCTGTGCAGTTGCTACCCATCTGACACAACTTCTGTCTGCTTATCCCTGCTGGGCCAGTAGCAATTCAGTCATTGCCCGAGTGATATCTGTGCTCAGTCTTCTGGCCACACGACTATCTTGAATATTAAAGAGCTGGAAGAGTAAAAGAGGGGAGCGAACGCTGGAGTCTCTACCGCTTTCAAAGGATGGCTGTCTTGGGCTAACAAATCCCCACGCAGCTAGACTTTAGCCAGCTCCTCGAAAGAACTTGTGAAGCCAGCAGATTGTGACACCCTAAGATCCCTAACTGCCTTGCCTCTGCCTACTAATAAAGTGCAGCTGCTGTCAGCAAAGTGTAACAGCAACGGTACGTAGGGCTTTGCCACTCACAGGGAGAAGAACCCTGGCTTCAGCGGCAGCACAGCTCCATCCCATACACCCGGGAGTACGGATGCAGTGACTGCTGAGTAGTCCGTGCTGCCTGCTGTGCTGTGGACTTGCACCCGGGAGGGTCACCTGCATCCTGACAAAGGTCTGAAAACTGGAGGAAAAAGCCTACCAGACAACACATCTGTTTCTTTGGGTGAGATGTTCCCTTTAAAGTGAACGAGATCAAAATCTACCGTGTTACGGGAGGTGGGCAAACAGCACCCTGCGTGGATGAAAGGAAAGAAATATTTGGAATTACGCTGATCTACGGCTGTTCCCCAAAATCCCCAAATACATCTTTTTTCCCCTAAAGCAAGATACTGCATTTCACTGACAGGAAGAATCCAAAGCAGCAACCCTCAGCGGGGATGAAATCAGAGTGTGAAAAAAGCTAGACCTGCACCAGCATGATGAAATGTTTTGATCCAGAGTGGGAGCTGTTAGAACAGCAGCAGAACATCAATGGTTATTCACAGCACATGGGGCTAGGCAGTGCTGATATTGCTTAGAAATAGCAATGCCTTGATTACACTCAGGTAACATCTCCACATCAAGATTTGTGAATTCAGAGCTCCCATGTTCAGAAACTATGATTTTTTTTTTCTTTTTTTTTAATTCTGTTTTTCCAGATGAACATCCTATGAGAAGACAGTTTGTGGTGTGTTACTGCCACATCTGCTGTGAGGTACAGGTATCTCTCCAGATGCAGAGCTTTCTGACTTTTTTCGATGCCTGGCACCACCAGAAGGAAGGAAGAAGGTAATCTACTTTGAATCCCAGTTCATCTTCTGCAGCAGCTCTTATTTAAAAGAAAAGGACATGGACCTTGTCCTGGTTTCAGCCACCTCCCCATGTCCTGTCTGTGCACAAGAAGCTGGGAGGGAGCACGGCCAGAGCACTGGACCCAAACTGGTCAGTGAATATTCCATATCATGTAACGTCATGCTCAGGATAGAAAGGAGAAGTGGCTGGGAAGGAGAGCTGCTCTCTCGCTTCCAGGATTGTGATTGTGGGGTCTTGGTATTTTGGGATCGCTGTCCGGAACGGGCTGGGTATCGGTCGGTGGGTGGTGAGCAATCACATTGTGCATCACCCCTTTGTACTTTCTATTATTGTTTTATTTTATTACAATTATTGAACTGTTTTTATCTCAAGCTATGAGCCTCCCTTCACCTCTCCAATTCTCTCTCCCATCCCCTGGGTGGGGAGGGAGTGTGAGCGAGCGGCTGCGTGGGGTTTGGCTGCCAGCTGGGTTTAAACTAGGACAGAACTACTCAAGCAGGTCCAGAGGAGGCCACGAAAATGCTCGGGGGGCTGGAGCAGCTCCCCTGGGAGGCCAGGCTGAGAGAGTTGGGGGGGTTCAGCATGGGGAAGAGAAGGCTCCGGGGAGCCCTTCGAGTGGCCTCCCAGGGCTTAAAGGGGGGACAGGAGAGGGGGGGAGGGACTCTGGGTCAGGGGTTGGGGGTAGGACGAGGGGTGACAGGTTTAAGCTGAAAGAGGGGAGATTTAGGTGAGATCTAAGGCAGAAATTGTTCCCTGTGCGGGGGGTGAGGCGCTGGCCCAGGGTGCCCAGAGCAGCTGTGGCTGCCCCCTCCCTGGAAGGGTTCAAGGCCAGGTTGGATGGGGCTGGGAGCCCCCTGGGCTGGGGGAAGGGGTCCCTGCCTGTGGGGCAGGGGGGTTGGGACTGGGTGATCTTTAAGGTCCCTTCCAACCCAAATCATTGTAGGATTCTATGAAAAATCCACTTGACACCTAGGATGCACAGCAGTACAGGTTCCTCTTGAAGCACCATCCCAAGACCTGAGCTGCAGAGCTTAGCTTTATTCCAACCAAGGGCTTTCAGAAGGGCCCGGCAAGACCGCTTCATGTCGGACTTGGTGTCCAAGCCTTGTGTCACTGTGGGAATCTCACTGTTTCCCCTCTCCCTCGGCTGCTCCGTGGGCTCAGGAGCCTGGACGAGTTGCTCCCCCCCAAGACGAAGGCACCCACAGCCCACGGCCCTGCTGCTCCCAGTGCCCCTGGGGGGTTCTTCACACCCACACAGGGCTGTGACCGTGGGTGACGACCCCAGGGAACCCCCCACGGAACCCCCACAGCCCTGCAGCCCAGCTCTAACCCCCACCGGCAGCCAAGCCCCGGGCTCATCCCGCCACTGGGGTCTGACTGCAGCGCCCTGCAACAGGTAGCCAGGTCTTAAGCCTCACTGATTTTGAATTTATTCACATATAATTAATGGTTAGGAATTGTTTTAGACAGGATTAATAGAATGCAGGCGTTCTATAAAGTAATATGCATAAGCTGCTCATTTGACCCATGTATCATCTTTAATATGGCTGACTTAAAACTCAGTGATGCTGAATCAACAGAAAAAGAATCACAGGTCTCGGTTTTAAGACATGAGAATGGATGAAAGGAAGTAATTAACTTTTAGAATAGGCAATATTGAAAAGTTAAGTATTATGGACTAGGTGTAGGCTAAATAGGAATGAATAGAACAGCTTGAGTAATTATCCGAAGTTCAAAAGGGTGATCTTTGATGCCTGAGAAGATAAGTGACTGTGGTGACCCAGGAACTTCCTGCCGCTCAGAAGAGGAACTGAGACGGGACGATTAAGAATCGGTTGAGACAGGAGGGTATTTTGGACTTTCGAAACCACTGACGGAGAGGACACCGAGGGTTCGTGGAAAAACAGCAAGAACTTCCTTCGACAAATACCAGTTGCTTGATGTTGTGTATACAGAGGATGTTTCTGAGCGGCCCTCTGCCACTGACTGGGGTGACAGCCCAGCTGTGAGTCGTTAATAAAGCGAACCTACAGCCACCCGCGCCCCTCCGCCGCCATCACCCGCAGGCTGGGGACGGGGCCGCCAACCGCGGCCTCCCCCGTCCCGGCGTGCCCCGCGCCGCGGCCGCTCTACCCGCCGCCTCTGTGGGCGGAAGGGGGCGGGGCCTGCTGGGCCGCCGTTGTTGTTGTCGTCGCCGAACGGGGGGAGAGGCCCGGGGAAGGTGAGCGGGGTGGGGGCTCTTCCTCCTCTTCCTCCTCTTCTTCCTCTTCCTCTTCCTCCTCTCTCTTCCTCTCTCTTCCTCCTCCGTCCTCTTCTGGGTCCCCAGGGACTGGGGTGGGGCTGAGCCGTTCCGTTCCGGGGCGTGTGCGCAGTGCTTGAGGGAGGGATGGGCCCTGAGGGGGTGAGCAGGAGTAACGGGGGGGGTGTGGTGTGGATGTGTGTGTGGGGGGGGTCCCTGAGGGGTTGTGGGGGAGGCGATGGCGGGAGTTGGGGTTTTGGGGTGATGTGTGTGTTGCGGTGGGGGGGATCCTGTTGTGTGGATGTAGGATTTGGGGGGCGGGAGGTTTTCCTTGGAGGGCTTGAGGGGTGGAGGGGGAGCAGGAGGGCTTGGGGTGGCTTGGGGCGAACTGGGATAACAGGAGGGTTTGGGAGGAGGATTTGGGGGTGACTGGGTGCTTGAGGGGTGTATGAGGAGAATTGTCAGTACAAAGGAGCGCCATAATGAGGTGGGGGGTGGCTTTCGAGGTGTGTGGATTTATTAAAGAGTGTGAGAAAGGGGTGCTTTTGGGACTTTTAATATGGGGGGGAGGAGAGGGGGAATAACCTTTAGGTATGTATAATGTGGTGAGTGGATAGGATAGATATGGGAAGGGTCCTTAGTTATGTGGGCTGGTGAAGGTATGGGGATGAGCTGGTGGGATTTAGGGTAGGGATTGGTGGGGGTGTATTTGAGAGCAGATAAGGTGGGTGATGTTTCTGAGAGATTAATGTAGGGGGGAGTTTCAGAGCCTTACAGAGTTCTCACAGTGTGGTTTGGGCAGGGGTTAGGAGCTCTGTCTGTTGAGGCAGTGTGGTTGATGGGGGAGCTCAATCTTGGGGTTTGAGTTTTGTGTAACACTTTATTTCTGATAATTTATAGGCGTATGTATAGTCAGAAGGTTTGTGATGGTAAGGGTTTTCTGTACGCTGCTCTTCGGCGATAAGAATAAAGCATGTAGGGTTTGTAGGAGCCTATAGGCTCTTGATATTTGCAAATCCTGTTTTAAAAGTTGAGATAGCATCGTGCTTTCAAATTGTTTTTATTCACTGTTAAATCTGGAGAGTGACCTTTGTTCCGCTGTAGGTCTGTGATACCTGTAGCTGGGTCAGCACTGCTGTGAGCAGTGAGGGAGAGCAGTTGGATACTGTTACTGCAATCTTTGAAGAGGAGAAATTTAACAGCATTTCAGATTTGCTTTGTTATGTATGTGAGAAGAGGATAAAATCCACCTTGTGATCCTGCAGAGAAGTAGTAACTCTCCCTGATGGACCATGTCTCAATTCCTTTTCTTGTTGGTTGAGACTGAAACCAGCATTTGAGTGCAGCTTTATTAAGTGTTTTGACTGAGTCAACCTGAATCTCTTTCGGATTCTGGCATCCAACCTGTAGCTGTCCGTGACTCCCTCTGAAGCTTTCCTGACTGAGAAAAGATGCATTAGGTGCAGTAGTTATGATCACCAAGCTATCATGTGTCCAGAAAACTTAACAGGCTGCTTCAGGAGCCTTCTGGACTGTGGTAACAGTCACTGAAGCTTTTGGCTCTTCCTTCAGTAGGAGGATCAGGACTTGACAAAATAGCAGGATGTGGTTGGGTTTGAAAGTGTCCCGTGTGCCACCTCTAGAAAGAAGGGAAATGTGACTCTGAACAGGGAGAGCAGACAAATGCTTGAGAGAGATCCTAGTAACAAGACATTCCTTGTTAGTGTTATGCCATTCTTCGAAGGAAACTTTTGTTTCTGATGGATAGATAAAGTAATTTCTTGAAGAATTTTATTTTTAAAATAATTCCCTTCATGAACTTTGTACGGGTTTGCATTTGCTTTCATAGGCTGATGAGTAAACTGTTTTCTAAGTACAGACAATAAAGTAGGAGTTTGTGTAGCATTTGGAGAAGTGTGGTGCTTGTGAATTGTGTCTAATCTTCTTATTTGGAGGAGCTTGCATAACAGTGTAGTAAAATGTGAGTGGTCTGATTAAGCCTGCCTTAATAATCCCTACGTAGTCACTGGAGAGAGCTGGCTGCTACTTAGGAAGGAAGGGATGGAGGAGCTGTGCTTCAGGTAACTTCTTAGATGTCTACTGTGGGAATACCCTGAAGAGTCTTGTTTGTTGTAAGACTGGTAAATATGTACTGTTTATGTGAGTCTTACACTGAACAGTTTTCTGAAGTGTTGCTAGATGTACATGTGCTTCAAATAATGAAAAAAACCCAAGCTTTGTTTACTTCAGGTATAAATTAGAACTTATTCTTCTGAAACAATTGCTTAAAATACTTCTCAAGGTTTTGCCTGCTTTGTGCCAGTAAAATACTTGGCCTGATATGATGTTATTAATTCTGAATACAGCAAGATTTGATACCTGCTTAATCAAAAGACACAAGTACATTGTCAAAAGTTCGGGACCTGAGTTCAAAGGCCTGCCACGTAAAGTCAGTTGCAGATACTTTGGGCTGCTAATCGTATGCAAATAGAAAGAGACTGGAGGAGGAAAGGGTAGGTCAATCTGAAATAGTATTCACTTGGTCATGTGCACACCTTGATCAGTCCAATATGTTGTGATAGTATGTGTTCACTTACAGGTGACATGGCAAAATTACCTCGCAAGTAATTAAACTTTGAAGGGAGGTGACATTAGTTATTTGCCACAAGTACAAAACACCTTCTGATGTGCAAGTAGCAAGAGGCTTGTGAAAAAGGAAAAAGAAAACCCAAAGCCTCATTGAGGTGCAGTGCCAGAGTAGGTGGGGTGGGAGAATGTGGAAAAGGGAAGGAGAGAGCTAGCAGAGTGAGTGATAGGTGGTTGGTGATAAGAGTTACACAGAAGACAGGTGAAACAGTTGCATTAATTTATTTTTAGGCTTTGCCGCCTTCTGCGGGGTAATGTTGGCTCTCACCTCTTTTAGCTAAGCCTGTGGTACATTTGAAATAAACCCCTGAATTACAAAAAAACTTGGTTTGTGTTTTTTTTTTTTTTTCTTTTCAACTCCTCAGAAGTCTTTACAGGTACTGTTCTCGAACCTCACACCTTTTTGCTCTGTTGGGGAGTAGGGTGTTACCTATGCAAACTTTCTTTTAGACTGTGTAAATGGGAGCTCTGTAAGAAGCAGAACCAGTGAACACGTTTCCAGTTTTGTCTTGAGGTTGTGCTCATCTGCTCTCTGTTAAGATTTGAGTCGCTGTATCAGCCTTTCTCTCTTCTGTTGAGGATGTACTTTTATACACATTTACCTGTTTTCACAAAACCAAAAGGCACGGGAGATATCTATCCTACTTGTGCTTACAGCTTGTTTGTGTAAGCCTCATTTCTTTAAGCAGCAAAACTAAAAATTCACAGACGGGTAGATTTTAAAAAAATAAACCAAGCCTTTTGTATGACTGTCACACCAGTGATGGTCTGATAGTATGTTACAGCAGATGTATTCTCCAATGAAGGAGCATTGACTCATTTCTCCAGTGAAGTCTGGCGTTTAATTTGGAAGTCTGCCTGATGGTGACTGATACCAGATGTTTCACAGGAGAACAGAGAATCCCTCTGCTGGGCAGCTGATATTCAGTAAAAACCTTATGCCCTTAACCATGAAGGTTTGTATGTCTTGGAAAGTTGTATAACTTTATATATGCAGTTGGTTAACCATAGGTGATGTTATCCCTAGGGACTAATATATATTTTTATTTTTTTTAAATCTTAAACTCAGGAATTCCTGTTAGTGGCATAGTGAGTTGAATAATTTCATAGGCCAAATACATTTTAGAAAATGTCTTTGGTTTCCAAGATCGGTGCCTTTCCATTTTCCTGGTCATCATCTGGCTGTTTCTGAAAGGTAAATGGGAATGTTTGATGTGTTGCCTCTGCGGTGTTTGTCAAGTGGGATATTCTGAGTTATACTTCATCACTATTACCAACCAGTGACCATAAAACTCTGCTGTTCTGAGCAATTGTACTTAAAAGTTGACTGTGTTAATGTAGCTGAGTTGGCAGTTTTTTGTTTTCATTTTACTTTTATGTTTAAGCTGCTTTCTGCATTGTTTCTTTCATGGCTACTAGAACAACACATTGAAGATTGAGGTGATATTTCAAGTTGACGTGTAATAATCTTGATTATTGCTAAAATTCTTTTGGATGCATGCTGAAATGAAGTTAGCTTGGTTTGATTTTACAACTCAAATGACTACTGGAGAAGAACTGTGAGAGGGATAGTGGAAAAAGAGTTAATATATAATTCTTCTTTAATCTCCATTTAAAAAGTACAGAATAACACCACATCAGGTGATGTGCAGTCTTCTGTAGTTTTCATTTCCTTTTCTAAGGAAACGAGTTATGTACAGTTATGCTTTCTGTCAGTTCCTCTGACAATTGTTGGTTGCTTTAACATGCTGGCAAATTGCAGCCACCTTTGACAGAGAGGGATAGTTCCTACAAGTTATGTGGAAATGATTCCTGTGATGCAGAAACAAGACTCACTTAGAGCTGCTTGTGGTAAGAGCTCAAGCCTTACTAGACATCAGAGCAGCTCTACAGGCAAGAGTTTATAGATGCCTGAACTAGAAGAGGCTTTGCTCTCTTACCTTAGACAGGAAAAACACTTGATGAGACACGTGTTTCAAAGAAACTTTGAAAATCGTAATGAATTGTTTGATACAGGCCTGTGTACAGCAGTCATTCCCTCTATCAAAAGTTTGAGTTCACAGTGTGTTGTTTTTTTTTTTTTTTTTTTTCCTCTTTCCCTAATGCTTCATTTAGGTAGTTTGCCTGAAGCAGAGTAAATGCCTTTTTTTTTTTTCTCCTTTTTTTTTTTTCCCCTTGTTTGTGATAATCACTTAACATCTGCTGATTTAGAACTGCTTTTTTACAAGAAGCTAGGTTCACTTAAAAACAGTGATTTGGGACATCAGAAATATTTTGCGTATCATTTCATAGTGTCTTTGAATGCATCTAGGAATTGATATATTGGATAAGAAAATAAGTTGTTTGTTTTCCTTCAGGCAAAATACTTTCTAGGATATGTTTACCTGCTGCACCAGAGATCTTACATTGTAAATATGCATATACGTACAGGTCATTAGTTTTCTAAAATGTTTGTTATGGTTATCTTTCAGAGATTATGTGAGCTGCTGCATTAGTCTTCTAACTTCTTGCACTGGATACTCACGGTATGTCTGAAGGACAGATCTCTTGTATGCTCTGAATGTACCAGGTAAATCCCGATAGTAACTTTTCATGGGAGGTTGTGACCTGTTAAAGAGTAAGAAGTCACAAGAGAGGGCAACTTTTATTCTATATTTAGCCGTAGTTGATTCTGTAAAAAGAGCCTGACAGGCTGTAGCCTAAAATTTATTTTTATATTCGTGTGTGATACTAGAAAATCAGTTAACTACCACACTAATACAATTATTTGCAACATTAGTGAAGATGCAGCATGTCAGTGGGAGTTAGCTGCTTTCCATCAATACCTTTAAGAACTTTACTCAACATTGCTGATGCTCAAGGTAAAGCAGGAGGGAAAATAATGATATTTTCCAGGTAGATAGTTGCCCTGACAAATCCTCTGCCTCACCTTTTTGTCTGAAAGGCATAAAACAGATGCAGCCATGACCTTTGAGAACAGTTTGATTGCCTTTCAGTGGCCGTGGTGTTACAAGAGGTACTGTTCAGTAGCAGTGGGAAACAAACTCTTTACCTTGACATATTTCTGGCTCGCATATTGGATTGTAACTAACTAATACCACATCCGTTAACCTAATTTAATATTTCATTTTCAGCTTGTCCTCATGAGTACTCCAGTGGAGAATGTCCATGATCTTCTTTGCCTGTGTGGTGCGGGTGAGGGATGGACTTCCCCTCTCAGCCTCCACAGATTTTCATTTCAACCAGGACTTTCTAGAATGCAGAAAGAGATTAAAGGTGTTATCCTCAATTCTGGCACAGTATCCAAGTCGAGGCACAGCAAAAGGACGTGACCTTAGCATACAGTAAGTCCCTGCTTTTGTTTGTTTGGCTTTTTGACTTTAGGTTTTGAAATGGTTGTTTAATTTTTGAAATTAGTTGAACTTTAAGGATTAGGTATATTCTGTAGTGCCTAACTCCAATCTGAAATCCCACCGTGCATGTCTAGATTGTAACCTCCAAGCAGATTTTGAAGCCTTATTTCTCAGCACCACAGCCACACAGCTCCTACTCAATTTAGTAAACATATGTTAAGATTGCTTATTTTAGTTGTAATTTTTCTGTAGCGAATTCTTTCTGCTCGATGGGCAGTACTTGTTACTACAAGCAATTGGAGTATCTTGGACTTCTGTGAATACTTTCTAAGATGTCATCCTAGTGCCTAGGAATTAGTTTAGTCTAAACCCCAAACCCTTTTCTTCAGGGACTGTCAAGTCTTGTAGGGGCCCGAGGCAAGGCTTCAACAGTCCTGATTCTGCCTTCAACAGAACTGCCCTGACTCCCTCCAACATACAGCCCACTCCATTTTCTGAATACCAGAAGGGTTTAAGCCTTTAGAAGACTAAGACGTGTCTTGAGGAGGCCTGAAGCATACTGATAGTAGCCAGTATGGAGAAACTATAAGTCTTTGCTTTTATTTATTGGAGAAGGATCTGCTTGTCTTTATTTTACGAAATTAAGGTTTCATTCAAAGATGAGAATTTTCATACACTGTTGATTTAGTTCTAAAAATGAGTTTTAGCTACTGATTGCATTTCTGGTTATAAAACGCAAGAAAAAAATTAAAGTGGCTGAGATAAAGCTAAGTATCCCTTTTTGAGGGAGTGATTGGAGAAAGAAGATACATGAAATTACACTGAATCAATTGGAAAAGCAGGGACTAGCATTTTAATTTGTTTTCCCTCAAAGCAAACTTATGCCCTTTAATGCTAACACATTCTGCTGCCTTCAATCTTCTGTAGTCTACAGAAGTGGTTGTGCATCTGGCTCTGAAATTAGAAGAGTGCAAACAGATACATGGCAAAAAGGCTATAAATTATTGACAACTGGGAAAAGGTAGTTTTACACAAGCGTAGTGTTGATCTTCAGCTGTGGGCGGGGGAGAAAAGGAATTTAGGGAAGGTGCCCAGTGTAACTAGACTCTGATGGAGCTAATCAAAACCGTACATCCCAACTACCTAGTACAACAAATAAGTAAAAATATGACAAAATAAAAACCACAACTATTTCTGCATGAAAGGGATGAAATATATAAACAGTAGAAAAGAGAAAAAATACAGAGAGACTAATTGTTCAGCTTCAAAATTTTGTTTTTATGCTGAAATACTGCTTGAAAAATGGCTAGCCTGTGAGGGAAGATTTCCTCAGTCTTCCTTCAGAGATAATTACAAATCCGTACTTATGGTGGGGGTTGTGGTAGTTTAGCTATCTACTTTCTGAGTGCTGACATCTGAACTAGGTGCCCTGACTGCTACCTTATTTAATGAAGCCTAGATGAGAGCAGTTTCTCTCATCCTTAAGTACCTGCCTACATTTTGATCAGATGAATCCCCTGTTAAGTTTCCTAGAAGGTTTTGGGCCATCACTAAGTGGAAACTTCTTCTAAATACAGCTTCAGTGTTAGAGAGACCTCTTTTGGAGTAGAATTTTTACTGTGCTGTTTCTGATACAAATCAAGATGAATTTGGAACAGATGATTTAGCAGTAACAGTGTTTGAATATCTTGGTTTGTGTAAGTTAACAAGTATCTCTTGCTGATAATATGAAGTTGTCATATTGCAGGGAAGCAAAGACTTCATCTGCTTGCTTCCTGTGAACAATTTTGTTTGTGGAAAGCCACTGTGTTTTCTTTCAAAATCATCTTGCCTGTGATGTTTTCTGGCCCTCTCTTTCCTTATTAACATGATTTACAGCCAGCCAGGGAAGATAATGTCCTCAATTTTTACGGATGTAGCAATTTAATAAAATCTGTATTGCGATCTATAGTGTGCTAAGGCATCCTGAATGAGTTAAGAATAAGTGTTAGATCTACAGGGGCTGCAGGACTATTACAACGGAGCAAACAATTTATTTTTTGCTGTCTGTACATTTTGTTTTGACAGAAAGCACAGTTCATTTCTCATGTTCAGCATGACTCTTTTACCTCTTTATGTTGATGTTACTTTTTTTTTTTTTTTCCCCCTATTTCAGTTTCCTTTCTTCTGGGGACATTGCCTGCATGGCAATCTGTTCCAGCAATTATTCAACCATCATGGCGTTTTGCTTCCTGGAAGAGCTGCAGTGGGAATTTGCTGCTTCCTACGATGCCACAAGCATCAGTTTAGCTTCCAGACCATATGCTTTTCTTGAATTTGGTTTGTAACTTTGTTCTCTAATAGTAAGAATTCTGTGTCTGCTACTTTTATGATGTTAAACAGTATCTCCTGGCCAAAGCCTGATTATAAAAATGAATCTGTGTGTGTGCCTTTGCATGCATGTGTAGGAGGAGGGGGAGATCTTTTAACTGCCTTAAACTATTAGATCGTTGGTTTTGCAGTTCCTGAGAGCCTCTGTATTAGATGAACCAAATGATGTGGTGATTAATAAACAAGAACAGAAGAAATCCACATCTCAAATGCTTTCTAACTTAACTAAAAAAATCTGACAAGTGGAGACAGATGTGTACAGGAAAAAAGGGAGACGGAATAGATTATTATGGGCAGCTTTACTTCTGGCAAGACTTAAATTCGTGTAATACTTCATAATCATGCCTAGCATGTCCTTTTTAACATGATATAAATGGTTTTTTTTTTTTTTTTTTGCTGAGTAGCAGCTGCTCTACTGAACCTCACACCTTTGAAAAACAGAGTTCCCTTGCGATGAGAAACTCTTCTCTGGGTAAAGATAAGATATTGCAGTGGGTTAACACACTATCCAGATTTTGGTCATACTGTTAAGCTCAGGCTTACAAGATTGAAAAATCCACTAGGAAAGTATATCATACAGCCATCTTGCATTTTGGGTGGATTCCCTGTAGGGCACGTTCCAGGCATGATGTAATCTTATACTGAGATCCAAATTACTCCTTTTTTTTTTTTTTTTTTTAAACTTGAGTAGGAATTTGAGAATTTCTCATCTCTTGTAATTGCATAAGGTTTTTCTTAAAGAAAAAAATGCTGCTCTTTTTCATTTTTACTATTATGCTGTATTTTTTACTGAGTCTACCTAATGTGGCTGTGTGATTTTTTTATTTTATTTTATTTTATTTTTTATTATTTTTTTTTTCCCCTCCTTCTTTCTTGTGTTTGGATCTAAGATGCACTTGATGCCTAAGGTGCCTTTTGCCTGGTCGTTACAGATAATTGTAGCGTGCTGATTTACTGAAAAATCCTGTATTTTACATTAAGGAATACTCATGGCACTGTGTATTCTAGCACGACATAAAGCCCTCCTGTGTGGTCTCAAAACTCATGCTTAAGCTATTACATACGTATTGTATCCAGTAGTAGCTGTGGTCAACCTAAGCAAGTCTTCTAGTATAACAATACCTTAAGGATATGGATTTTACTTACAGGATATCTTAGCAATACAAATGTTTCTGCATGTTATCTTCCTAAGCATTTGAAATGGCTTGAATTTTCCAGTATCTTTGCGCAATTAAAAAGGAAGTAGCACTGCCCACAATGAGGTACTTCAGCTCTGGAGGTGTGAGCAATTCGTACTTGGACACATTCTTTGCTTATTGCAATTCCTGTCAAACCAGCAGCCACACTTTTGGAAAGGGATTTGCTTGCAAATGGTATTAAATTTAAAGTGTGAGAGATGAAGCAGGGTGATCTGTATGTAGATCTGTGGCTTGGATGTCGGTAGAATCACTATGGAATTGTCTCTGCCAGTCAGAGTTGCTTCATGAGTCAAATATAGATTGAATTACTTTATCTCTGTGCTGGAAAAAACCTAATCCTTGACATTGTTAAAACACAATCTGGAATTGCTTCTCATGGTAGTTCATAGGTAATTTAAGATATATGTTAACATCTGCCCTGGAATATGAAAGATTGTTTTTCAGTCCACTGGTAGGCAGGATGTTGAGATTTCAAGTATCCAGAAGGGAGTGGGTGCAGTATAAAATACCTAGGAGAGGTATTTTTGTTCCCTAGCCAGCAGTGGAATTTTATATCTGAAACTAATAAGAAAATCAATGAAGAAATGAAAAAAAATCAAAAAAGAATGCCATGATTTGATTAATAATTACCTAAGGCACTTAACTTTTGCAGAGTTAATTGAAGCATGTTTTTATATTGTTTCAGATAACATCATTCAGAAAGTGAAATGTCATTTTAACTGTGCAAGTGGCTCTCAAACAAAAGCCAACTGGGAGAAGATCGAGGAGGAGCTGAAGTTCCAGCCCCCGGTTCAGCTGAAACTAGAGGATACGGAGCTGATGAATGGGATGGCTAACGGTGGGCACGCAGGCGTTCATGTGGAGGTTGGTAAGTTACTACTACACACAGGTGACAGTAGACTTCCTGAACCTAATTTTGCAAACCACAGAAAAACATGTAACAGCGGTGGTTCCTTTTATACTGAGAAATATATATATGTATCATCTGTACGAAACCTGAGAAAAAAGACTGCCTTTCTATCGTAGCAAACAACATACGGCCCTTAGATTATAGCAGGGATGCATCAGAGCCTTTAAGGACTTGTGGTAGTGCCTTTTTTTCCAGCCTTAGATCAGTTTTCCTGTATGGATGATTCATTGTAACTGGACTTGGCATTTTCCATGTTAAGTTCTCCTGCTTTTAAAGTAGTTATTTGTTAAATTTTCTACGGCAAAAGAAAACTCCTCTTAATTCTTTGCTTGTTGCAAACTCTTACAGTCTAAATAAGTTGCTTCGGACTTGAGGAAAGAAAAGATGAGAAGAGCTGAGGGTAAAACTCTTATTCCCAGACTGTCTATCTTGGGTTGTTCTCCCCTCTTTGCTTGTCCTTTTACCTTACTCTTTAAAATTTAATGCATTTGACTAAAATGCTGAAAGAGGATATGTGTATCTCTATAAACAACACAGAGCTTGACAAGGGACCTTTTTGTAACAAATACTGACGTTTTACCTACTTTTAGAAGTACTAATCACAACTTACTGTAAAACTGGTGTCTTCTTTGTGTTTCAGTTGCATAGTCAAAGTCCTGCCTTCTTCCTCTACGGAATGAAATGGTAAAGTCATTTAGGTTGGAAAAGATCATTGAGTCCAACCGTAAATCTAACACTGCCAAGTCCACAGCTACACTATGACCCTATTTTAATCATACCAGCATGGTGTTTTAAATGCAGCTGGAGTGTCATGAGCTTGTATTTCCTCTTTTTTTTGTTGTTCTTGGCTTATGAAACACTAATAAAATTAAGTTTCAGTTGCTCAGTCTTACTGTTTCTGATAGATGAGCTACAGTCTCATTTGACATATGTACTTTAAGCTAAAATGTTAAGGGGCAGTGGCCCAGAGGAAAAAAAAATAGAAATAGAATCAAAAACATTTTATTTGCCAGTCAGATTTGTCAGTGCTCCTCAGAACTGTGCTTGAAGGTTAAATATTTTCATGATGTGACAGGGATTAGATTAGAAATTCTTTGCACTAGTGTGAACAGTTTCAGTGCCAGTAAACATATGCAAGCTAGTCTGTGTCCACAGATCAGAAATACATTTTCAGTTCCCCCATACTCTTAATTGCTTTCTTTTACTTTCCATCTGGCTTTGTATTTCTGGCTGTTCTCTCTGCTCTAACGCAAATGCTCTTGCAGATTGTTCTGCCTTTATTTTAAGGATCATGTTTGTGATCATCTGTTTCCCTCAGCTGGAGTCATCTTTCCTGGCTTATGTCTCTCTCCTTGTCATTACCTACCAGCTGAATCCAACTTTTCTGCTCTAAGTTTAGCTGTGTGGATAGTGTTTGTTCCTATATTAGTGTTATTTATATTATGACTTTGCTATACAGGAGACTTCTTGAGCTGACATTGGAGTGTTATGGTTGCAAGAGTACAGAATTTAATTGTGCCTGTATTCTATAGAGAAGATAGATTAATCAATGGCTTGATCAAAACATCACTTTCCTTACATGGTTGTAGCTGGTTCCTGTCTTCTTTTGAGCTGTGTGATTATATGCCCTGGTTCTTCATTTTAGTGTGAAAGGAGTCTCAAAAGTCAGGGCAGTTTTGTCCTTGTTAGTATATACAGGAACAGAAGCCTCTTTATTTCTTCTGATTGTTCCTTCCTTTGTTAACTAAACCCAGGCCAATTCTTGCTGGAAAGACCCTAGCACTGGATCCTTGACCAACATCTGCACAGCTGTTGTGAAAGCTTCACCTTAGGTCTCGATATGGGCACAGCTGATAAATTCCAGGGGACAGTGGGGGGTGTGTACAGAAGAAATGTCAAGTGGCAGTAGCTTTCTAAGAAGAGGGAGAGTTCTCACATCAGAACTGGCTCTAGGAAGTAGAACAAAAACTTGTGCTGTTCGTGTAGTAACCATACTGTTAAATTATGCAGCATTGTGCTCCCCTTGATGAATGTTCTTAATCTTTTGTAGGCACGCGGGGAGTCCTTCGCAGGGTCCTTTTTAAGATGTTTTCTGAAGATGTCTCACATCTCCCTCTTTTGTGTGCTTGTATTTTATCTGAAAATCTTTAACTCTGATTTCATTTTTTCGCTCCTGGTGCTATCTTTATCTGGAGCTTTAAGTGACTCATTGTCAAGCCCTTGTTGTGCTATGCCTTGAAGAGACAGCATGGAGCGTGGTACAGGCATTCACGTCAGTCTCCGGTTAAATAGCCAGCGGCCTCTGCTCAACAAATCCTTTGTAGGCAGAAGCTTCAATTTCTTCCCTGTCTGAGAGTGTTTTCACAGAATCATTCTATACCTGTTCAAACCTGCACATGCATTTTTCCTGGGTGCTAGATAATCCAAAGTCCCCAGAACATCTTCTGTATGGTTCTTGTACTCTGAAGTGCACAGTTTTTCTGTTTGAAGAATGAAATCAGTTTGAATCCCAATTAACATTGTGCAAAATTGTGCTGTCTTGGACTAAGAGTGCTTGTACTCTCTTGTTCCCTTATTTAATGTAACAAGCAATTCTAGTATGAAATTCTGTTTATAAAAATAGGATTGAATTCACACAAGGAACTATTAATTTTTCTCTAGCAGTACCCATCTTGCTCGTTTTGTGCAATTTCAGTTTGTGAATTAAACCTCAGAATGATACAGCAGAAATAAAGTTCCCCAGCAAGCAACTTAGAGATCAGTTGTCACAGAATCTGAACCCCAAGCAACTGGATATTGTAATCTTCCCTGCATCTGTGGTAGCAATTATTTTTATCCCACTGGACAAAAAAAAAAAATGTAACTTTTACATAATATTCCATGCTGTGGTCTTCAGCCTGCAGAAGCAGTGTAATGAGACTTGCATTGTTCTTCTGTGGGGACTGGAAATTCTTGACACACAGTTTGCAAGATCCTGCACATTGAATGATACTTGTGCTCGGTAATTTTGATTTGTTTGAGAGACACTGTATGCCTCTGAAGTAAGCCTTAGAAACTGAGGAAGAAGAAACAGTAGTCTTTATTAGGACATTTCCATGAGAGACAGAGGTACATAGCTGCAACATTATTTGATCTATCAAAAATAATAGGAAACTGAATAGTTAGGTCAGTAAATGAACAAGCATGCTGATACAGCTTCTGTTCAGTGTGCTGTTTGGACTTTAAATTTCACTGCATAGCAAAAAATTTAAGTTGCCTTTGAATGGTAGGATTACTTGCACTATTTATTTACATAAATAAGTGTATGACAATGATATACAGTAATGCCACATAATGTGACATATATCAAATGGAATTAATACAGTTCCTCTTGCAGCTCTTTTGGAGATGAAATTATGGAAGTATGAGTGCGTGCCAGGCAAATTAATTACATAGACACTTATCAAAAATACTTTATTTCCCTATGTTAATTTGTCAAGAAACTTTTTTACATTCATCCATCAAAATCTCTCTTGAAGGAGAAGACACAACTGTTTTCCTATCTTAAACCATGCAGTACTGCAATATCTAGGCTGTTACAGTGTCAGTGAAATGATGCCAGAGATGATCTCTGCTGTGTCGCATAGTTTATTTACAGCAGTCAGGAGCTGACTGCATCTGGACGGGAGGCAGAAGGTCCTGAGAGCTGGGGAGACTTCGAGGGCTCAGTTGTTCTTTCCTGTATCTTATGGATGTTGGTGCAGGAGGATCTGGATTTGGTATCTGAGCTGCAAATCATCCTTCTTATCGTTATGCTGACAGCGATCTACTTGTGATCCAAGGGCAGGGAGGGCATGGGAGAAAATGTAGGTGAGTGTCTAGGTGCGGTGTTTGTTGTTGAGCTGGTGAGGATAGCTAGGGGAAAAAAATAGGTGAGCTTTTGGACAACCAAAAGCCAGAATTAGAAGTGGCAGATTCCAAAGTTAAATACAAATCGAACGTAATTGTTTTGACCTTAATTACTTATATATCAGTTAGAGCATCCTGAAGAGATGGTATTTGGATGTGTAGGTGTTAGAGTAAATAGGAGTGGTGGAGGAGGTGAGAAAGGGAAGAGGTAATTCGCTAACTGAAGCATGGGGAGGTTGGGAGAAAGGGAATTGTAATGCACCATAAAGTCTGGTTCAAAAGCAAAAAAACTCTAGCATCCAGTTTAATTCTTAGGTCCTGGTTTTGACCATGCTTTGTCAGTCTAAGAGGCCCAGAGGTAGGAGCAGCAGTTCTGTGACAGATGTTCCTCCTCTGTGACTGTGTAGTATCATCTTGACAACTCCTGCAACTCTTCTAGCAGCAGAGCATCCAAGTCCTTGGCTCCTGCAGTTGTATTCTGGCAACTGCTCGGTTGGGGCACCAAACACTGTGTGGAAACTGTGCTGGTGAAACTAAACTGCTGCATATCAGACTGAACCCTCAAACTTTCACTGGGAAGAAATACATTATCATCAGTTGAGGAAGAATTGAATTGCTGTCTTGCTGTTATGGGTGTCAGAAATCCAAGCTCTTTCCCAGACCTTTGGGTGCTTGAACCCTCTAGCTTTTCTAGTGACCCGTGAAGAGTGTTAAGTATGCTAATTTGAAATAAACAGTTGAAAAATATCTGTGTGCACCATTAAAGAAGACATTAATGCCAAATGTCTCAAGAACAAATTATGTTGCTTAACCTGCTTAAAAAATACTCCAGACCTCTCGCTGATTTCTAGATGTCTGAAGAATTGAATAGTGTAGTGCAACAAGAAAACAAAAGTTTTTCTATTCATAATTGGTCCTCTCTGGAGCAAGCATCAAAGGTTTAGAAAATGTTTGAAACTCATGTTCAAAGAATCAGAGGAGTAGTGCTAACTTTCACTAATGTCTCCCTTTTTTAGGTTGTTTTTTTGATTGTGTTTTTTTTTTTTTTGTTTGTTTGTTTCGGTTTTTAGTCCCTACTTACCGAATGCAGCGTGTGACTCCTCTGGGGATTTTGTCTCTTGTTCTGAACATCATGTGTGGAGCTTTGAATCTCATTCGAGGAGTTCACCTGGCAGAGTATTCATTTCAGGTAACCCTGATTGAATTGAAACCTGTAAATGAGTGAAGGGGAGAGAGTTATTTGGGTAACCAGATTAAGGTTGGCTGTTGTGCTTCATATAGAGCATACATCTTTACTTAGGAAGTGTTTTGTTTGTCCAGGTAATGTACAATTAATTTCTCATCTGCTAGACCTCATGTGTTTTGTTTCATATTGCAGCACATTACATTTTATTCTTTACTAGGGAGATTAAAATTTGGAGAAATATTTTAGTTTTGCCAGGTTGACTCGATATTTTTTTTTTTTTCCCCCACCCCCCCTTCTTGTATTTTGTTCTAGATGCTTTTGTGTAATTTTTTTAAAACAAATGTGAAACTGTAAACAAGTTTTATAAAGGAAAAAAAAAAAGGTGTCCTGATTGTATGGTGGCATAGCTTTATTTAGCAGGAATTATCACATAAGCCTCCGTTTTTGGTATGTTGTTCAGTGATATTGATCTTGCTGTTTAACACAGTTGCAGTCAATCAACATAAACTAGGATGAGAGGTACTTGATGAAATATAGTGTTCTAATATATCAAGTGGTACTTGTTAGAAACTGTAGCTGACGTCCTTGTTTGTCACTTTTTTTAATCCAAACAGGAAGACCATGAAGGAATTGGAAATGTGGTAGCTTTTTTCCTACCTTTTCTAGCCTGTGTTTTTCAGGTAAGTTAACTGTAGATAAAATGCTTTGTGATTAAGTTTATATTATAATATACAAGGCAAAATAATTTTCAGCTAAGCAGAATTTGTTTTTTAGTATACTACCTACTGCTGAGATATTCCAGTGAAGTGGCACAAATACAGTTAAAGGCACAATTTGACCCTTGGCACATGGCAGATGCAAGATTTTTCAGTGCTTTCATATTGTGACATGCCAAATGGAGTTGAGCGTGATAATTAAGTGTTAGCCCAGAGATGGTTTGTTTCCCAAAGGGATAGCCACGATGTCTTTCTGACAGTGGCAGACCTAGTGATGGGCTTTTGTAGCATAACCACTTGGAACAACTGAGCATGTACAGGATAACAACATTATTGAAAACATAATTTACATTACAAATTACTTCTCGTTCTTGAGACAAATGTGATTCCCGACTTCCTTAGATCTTATTTTTTTTTTTTTCCTAATGGATTATTTTCTCTGAACTTATGCAGAAGAGTTTGAATGAGGAAAATATTTTATCCTCCAAACGGGTTATTCTTGAAAGGTTCCTTAACTGCCTAAAAGAGCAGTCCATGATATTTAACTTGAGGGCAATATGTTGTTTGCAAAATCTTCAATTTTTGCCTGTCGCAGGAAGCTGCGGTAGTTGGGTTGCTGGTTTACAGGAGGAGGAACATAACGCCTGCAGTGTATTTACTGCTTAGTACTGTTGCATTTGGCTAATGGTTTGAGGATCACTGTCTGAAGCCTTTCATTTATGGTATTTAAAACTTGCAGAGAGGCTGTTTATTGTATCATAATAGATACAATTTAGTGTCTTTCAGCCTTCTTACACCTCTGCTCAGGGCAGAACTCTAAGATGGAGATAGTAATTTTTATGTAAATACTTGATGCAAGTCATTCTTCACAGAGGGAGGCTCTGTCCTGCTTTTTTCCAGTTAGTACCTGAAGCTAGAGAAGCTAAATAAAGAAGAGTTCTCTCTTATCCTTTTGATCTATAGCAGTCATCTTCACAAAATGCTTGTGCATAAATTGAGCTCAAATGTGAAGTGCTTTCTGCATGATGATCTCTGCTTGTGTCATCAGCACAGTTGGAAACTGTGACCTTAAGTGAGAAAGCATGATCTGTTACTGACTGAGTTAAAAAAGTAACTCTTCTGCTAACACTTTGAGTTTTTCATTTTTTCCTGTAAGGGTTGTTGCTCTTCACACATGCTTAGCAAGTGGGTTCCACCTGTTCTTAAATTTAAAAAGAAAAAGAGCCCAAAACCCCAGCTGAACAGAAAGGATGGTCTTTCTACTAAGTCAAGAGTAGAGAATGAAGTCCTTTACTTATCCCGAGAACAAATATGGCAGAAGCAGATTTGGACTCGCTGTTTTCCTGCTTCTGAGCCTTTGTGTTGCAAAAATCATAGGTGGTTTTTGACAGCTGGCTCAGGTTTTGGATTCCTTTTAACCCTGGCTGAGGCAGGCAGGAGGGACACCAGTTGTGACTGACTTCTTTTGATACCTGTGCTTACCCAGCAGGGTCTGGGTTGAGGCCAGCACTCTGGCTCCTCGTGGAGGACTTTTAACACAGGAGTTGAAGGGAAGCTTTGAGCTTCTCGGTGATCACTGCCACGGCACACACATCCAAGCGGCACGGACGTGCCAGCAGTTCCCAGCTGTCTCTCCTGTCTATATGTGCATGGTTTAACACTAACCCTGTCTCCCTGGTTCTTTTGTAGTGTTACTTATACCTCTTCTACAGCTCGGCAAGGAAGGTGAAGACATTTGTACTCTTCTTCTCTGTTTGTTTATGCAACATTTACTTGTACGGATTACGGAACCTCTGTCAAATAGCCTTTCACATAGGAGTGGCATCTCTTTCTTCTTATCAGATACTGACAAGGCAACTTATGGAGAAACAGCCTGACTGTGGAGTATGAAAAAGACTTCGGGTTTGCTACTTTATTTTTACAACATTTTTTTGTATTAAACTGGCCCCAAATGGAATATTTTTAAACATTTGTGACAATGGTTACTGCGAGGAAGATATTTTAAAGCAACTTGATATAAAGTAGGACACTGTAATCATGTCAAACATACAGTGAGAATGTAGGTTTATTTAACGTGGCATGTGGTAATTGTGCATGGTAGATCTTGTCAGGTGTCATCAACAGATGGAGGTTCTCCTTAACATAAACAGGCTTTTCCTCCTTGACTAATACCATCTAGACAACATTTTGCCATTTGTCTTACCGGCTTTGTAGCACTTTGGCAGGTCAACGTCTTGCCCTGCCAAGCTTCCAGAAATATTAAAATTGCATCGTAAAATGAAGTGGTGGGTAACATTTTCGTCTGTAGAATTTCTTAAGCATTAAGATTCTTGGTAAATGTAAGTAAAGGAGTTGTTTGCCATAATTAGATGAGTTCAGTATCACTGGGAAAAAATGTTAGGGTAAGCTTCGGGATAATTTTTCTAGGTTTTGAAGGAAAGGAAAAGGTTGTGGCTCTTTTAAAAACCATAAAGGCTATAAATATCCCCTGGCTAAACAGTGCATTGCAGTTAAGTATGTGCGCATTGGTTAATTGCAAATATGCTTGGGGCAGCATAAAATAAACCAAGTGAATCTTTCAGCTCAGGTGGCCTTTATTTCCTTGGTTAAGGTCACTCTTAGTATAAGGGTAATTCCATGTTTGCTTGGTCTGTATGGATAATAAATCTTCCAGGCCTACTTATGACAGGCCACTGACTCCTTTACCCTTCTTAAAAAAGTATATAGCTGGTGAGTAGAAAGCCATTTTCAGTAATGGAAAGCCAAGAGCAGGTTCTCTTTATTGTATAAAACACCTTTAGTTAATGGTGTTGAGTTCTTACACTAAGATGAATTTATTAGTGTGCACTTTTGAATATAGTTCTTAAGAGCTGAAATTCTTAACCTCTGCTGCACTGGGTATTCTTGTATGTAACATATTGAGGTGCATATGGGCATTTTAGAACATATATGAATAATTTAGCTGTCCTTGAAGGGTTGTAGAGATTCAAATTGAGAAGATGTAGAGAACTGTAGGTGTGTTATTGTGGAAGTATGGTCCTAGATTTTCTTTTATTTTTTTTTCTTAGGAAACTGTTTTCTGGTCACCCCATTTCTTCCACTAGACATCTCTCACCGAAAATTTATTTTCCTCTCACATAGTCTCTACCTCTAGTGGTTGCAAAGAGATTAACATGATGCAGAGTTGTCTTCCCGAGTTTGCAGGAATGCTTAAAAAAATTACTTTCTTGCATCTCAGTGAGTTTTCCTGAAGCCTCACGATCCAAACATGTGTATCAGTGGACTACTGGTCCAGAAAGCTGTGGTGCTCTACCTGGGAAGCGCTTCTATGACGCAGCTGGCTGCAACAACAGCATCGATAGGCAGCCCATTACAACCTGAACAGTTTCTAGGACATCAAGACACTTGATGCCAGAGCTTTTTCCAGTAGTAAATTGTAGGTATTTCTTTTCCATCCTGTATTAGCCCATTTACTGCAGCAGTAACATAATGAAATCCTTAAAACTGAGGAATAATCTAGTAAGAATAATGGAGGAATATTTTAGCCAGACAAATCAGAAAACAGCTAGAGCTGTGTGCTGTAAGGGAATCCTCTTCTGTTATAAGGGAGTGGATTAAAGTTGTTTGTCTTTCATTACCCCAGTTTTCAGCCAGAGTGTAGGTGGGGAAATGAAGCCAGAATTCAACCATTGTCCTTAAGACACCCAGGTGACCACACAGATGTGGGGGTTTTAGTACTGGCAAGCTTTAAGTTTTCATGCTGTTCAGTCTCAGTTTAGGTACTACAGGGAACCAAACCAGGAGTTTGGAATACAAGTTTGTTTGTTCGTTTTTTTTAAAAAACGTTTTTTTAAAAAAACGAACAAACAAAAAACCAACAAACAACAACAAAAGAAACACCCTGAAGAAAGGACACCCCCAAAAATCTGATACTAGAAACTTAACGCTTTGTTAGGGATGCTGGATCTGGACCTATTTGTGTTTTACTGGAGCATAAGCTGGTTATCAGCCTACTGGGTTAGCATGGGGAATCGTCCTGTGGGGAAAGAATGAAGCGTTTTATACTAGAGATAGGCAAAACTTTGTGAAAGGGACCTTAGTGATATGACCCAGCATCCTGCTCCTACCTTTTTAGTCTCAGTCTGGCTAAAGAATCCAAGAGCTTTACTGTTTCCGTGGAGGCTTGGATAAAGCCTGCCTGCTAGAGCTTTAGGCATGCAGAACATTTCACTGGCATGGGGCCGGTGAAGTATTATCTGCTTTCTGTTCCTCATCCTTGCATTGATCTGATTGGAAGAAACTGTAAAGTTTCTGATGCTTCCCAAGCATCTGACTGTTTGCTTTACCATGAAACAACACATCCCCAGGCCAGGTGATGTTAGCAACAGGTCTGCAGTGAGAGTGGTAGAACAAGGTGTTTAGATAGCTTCTGTAATTAAAACAGGTAGAATGGATAAAGGTTAAATTCTGCTTTTATTTAATATTTTTCTTTTTCCTGAAAATGTTTCAGTAAAATCAAACAAAACCAGATGGTTCGGTTCTGCCTTCGTGTAATTTTTTTTTGTTTTGTTTTCTTTGTGGATTAGATGGACAGTGCAACTAGATCTTTTCTACTAAATGAACAGAGCTCTGGTTTTCTGTTAAGTCTTAATCCCTTTGCAACCTTTTTTTATTTCCTGTAATATGTGTAAATCATATTAAGGAATCTATGTGGATTAATACGTGTGCATTAGTATCTGTGTACTTGGTAGATTTGGATTGTGATTCCAAGATGAGGCAGGGCACATGTAGTTTGACCTAATTTTTTTTTTTTTTTAATGTTAGTATTCAGAATGGCTCCTGTATCTATATGGCATTTATGCAGTTAAACATTTTCTTCTGATGAAACAGCAAGAGGAATAGAATAGTTTACATTAATGTCAGTGCTCTTAAGATTTAATAAGAAAGAATGACTTGCAGTTTGAGTACATGAAATCTGACTCATAATGTGGGATTATGCCTGTATTGAATCAAATCCCCAAACAGGAATCCAACCCTTTTTTGTTCAACTTTAAACTGTTTAATGTAGTTTGAATTGCATCTTCTTAATTATATCACTTTTCAAGATAAGTCTTTTGGAAACTCTTTTCCTCACCCAGCAGCTCAGCACAAGAAAATTGTCAAAGAATAAACTTCATTAATTTAAAGATTTGCAGTGCTTAGTCACTTTATGAAGCTGATAATTTTCTGTGTTTGTTTTTTTTTTTTTTTTTTTTTTTCTTTCTCCCAAAGACCTGTTAAGTTTATAGAAGGTGGGCTGGTACCTTTTTAGACATTTTTGTACTGTATTAATAATTGAACCTGTGTAAATGTGTATAAAGTAATTTTTGCATGTATATATGTACATATACCTAATAAATGGCTTTTTTGTAATGGCTGTCTTCATTTGTAGTTCTGAAATAACTGATTATGTTAGAACCAAGGTTCATCAGCCATTTCATTTTCGTATGCATCTTTAGTGTTTCATGTGGCAGTGTTCAAAATTTTTTAAAAATAAGCTCAGCTCTTCTTTTTAACTAAAAGTTTGAAAATCAGAGTGGTTTCACATGCTGTCGCAGTGCATCCTGGGTTGTATGTGGTCTCTTACAGAAATAAATACCTGTATGAGCTCAGGCTGGCTTTCTCTGAGATAGATTAGGTATCAGAGCACACACTACCTGGGTGCACACTGACTCTTCTTCTTCAGGGGGAATTAGATAGGATTTTTCTTTAGTCATCTACATGCTGAAAAGTGACTGGATTCATCAGCGGAACTATGCAAATATATTTATAAATATGTATATAGAAACTTGCTTATCCAAGCAACAGATTGCGGTAGGCTGTGATAATCTCTTTGTAGCTTTGACAGTCTTGCTCTTTACTTTCAGAGACCATTTCATAGAGGCTTTTCCTACAAAACTTGCATGGTGAAGTACATGAAGATGTAACCCAGTCCCATAGGTCCTTTTCCAGATGCCTGGCAGTGAGTAACGGGGATTTTGCAGGTTCCTGTTAGAATTTTCGCCTAGTCTCTTAATGGACCTAGGCCTATTAATTAGTCCTACCAGGCAGTCCTTACTAAGAGCTTGTGGATATTTTTTGGCCAGTTTCAGCCACCTTTGATAAAACCTTTTGAAGACACTGATTCATCAGGCTTTATAGAAATGAATGGCTTGATGTGACACAAAATTCAGCTTTCCCACCGACTGAATGTGGTGGGTTCAGGTATTGGGAAGTGTGCTTTGGTAGGGTGATGCTTTCAATGGCAGGACTCAGAGGACCCTGCCTAATCAGAAACCAAATAGGGTAAAAAGCAGAAAACTGGAAGAAATCAGGCTTGTGGCATGACTGGTTTCTTCCCATTTTTCTGCTTCCTGGTCTGCCACGGGCGCGATACCAAAATATTTGTAGCAAAAGCAAAACATGATGGGTAAAGGTCTGGGTTTTCAGTGTGTAAAAAGTGACACCTTTTCTTATCTCTGAGGTTTATTCTTGATAAAGAAGGCAGCTGTGGGTAAAGTGGATCTGGGAGAACTGCAAATCCTTTAGCGTTATTCTTCTGCTTTAAAGATATATCCCACTCTTTGCCTTGACTTGGCCTTTTAGCCTTGGAGCTTGCTCAGGTGCTGGCTTGTGGCACGGAAATGTCAGCGATAGGTTTGAGGTGGTTACAGTGCTGCAGCACTGCTGTGCTCAAAAGAGAAAGAGAGACAGACGCCTGTGTGTGCCCCTGTAATGAGGAAAGAGGCAGAACTGTAGGTTGTGCGGACTGTGGGTCGTAATAAGCAAAAGCTGGTGGCGGGGGAGGGAGGAGAGAGCCTTATTCTTCTGAACTGCTCTGCCCTTTGAAATCTAGATGTTATTTTCTGTTCTGTAAATAAATGATCGCTCAAAGCGTGTTTCTTCTTGAGATGCCAATAGAGGAAAAACAGCAGCCTTTCTTTTTTTCTAAGGTGAGGGGAGAAAGCAATTATAACTCCCTTTCTCTTTTGAAGATGCTGATAAAAGGAGGTGGGAGGATCAGAGGGCCCCTGTGCCAAAAGAGGAACAACTCCTAAGGTGATAGAAATACATGTTTTTATTTTAAACAAAGTAACTCAACTTCTGCTGTGTTCTGACTTACAAATGTGACCTAATTGCATGTAAAAACGGTTCTGGGGCGGGGGAGAAAGAAAGAAACAGTGGCCACAAGGAAAAGAGCAGCTCTGTCTTCAAATGTGTTACCTCCTCGTGATGCTGGCTGGCTCAGCTCTGGTGTCCACGGATGTGGGAAGAGTTGAACAGTCCCTGTCAAGTTGTGTTTGCTTTTAAAAGCAATCGGCCACATGCCTTAACCTCCGCCTCTGCTGAGGATGCAGGCTGAGGTCAGAGGCTTTATTCCACGCCTGTTGGTTCTTACAGGTACCTCCTGCTTGTCTGCAAATACATCTGTAGTAAAGGTATGACCTTTTGGAAAACATTTTAGAGAGAAGCAATGTCATGTCGGCAGGAAATAGAGGTGTGTTTGAGCTCTCTGGTGCGGGGTGGGAATCACTCCTCTTCCCCTCAGCCTTTATTTTCTAAAAGGCTTGACAAAGTGATATTTTTAAACCTGACCAATTGCTGTGCACTGTTTTCCCTCTGAAGTGTTGCTCTGGCAAAAACGAGGACCCTGGAGTGTGGGTGAGTAGTACCTGCTATGTTTTCCCATGCTGCAAACGTGTAATATCACTCCACTTATATTCATTAGGCACTTCAGGAAGGGTTGCTCAAGGAGAGAAGCTGTTAAGCAATGCAGGTGGTCAGGCAGATAAAAGGTAATATCCCTTCCCTTGGGCCTGCCCCCCACCAGATACAGTACTAGCTCTTTTTTGCCAAATTATAGTGGTGAATAATACCATGAGCTTGAGCTCATGCATGCCTTAACTTGGCTTAAGCTAATTTTTAATCAGGAAGATGCAGCTAAAGGGGAAGGTGTCTCCCTATCCCTGAGGCTCCAGGTCTTTCCCTTGAGTCAATTTTTCCAGCCTTAGGAAGGCTGATCTAGGCTGCTTGGAAGAAGCATTTTAAAAGTAATTAAATGGTAACACAAACCAAAGAACCCTTAAAAGTCTTTGCTTTATGTCGCCGCTTAAAATACATGGTAAGCAAAACAGAGAAGCGTATAAAATTCTCTTTGGTAGAATAAATGTCGTTCAATATAAGAACGGCAAGAAAGGCTTGAAATAATGACCATTAAAATGTAAAGCAGCAGCCAGTATAGCATGACATACGGCTGTGGATGGCTGAGATTTATTCATGCATTATGCAAGGAAAGACATTAACATACAAAATCCCTCATTTCATGTGCTCTCAACACTAAACAACAATTAATGCGGGAAGTTCAGCTCTGAAATACGTTAGTGGCCATCGGTATGCACCACCCAAAACAAACAAGAGGCTTTCTCATGGGAGGTGCCACCTCCTCCTCCCTGCTGTGGCCTTGAGCGAGAGCTAAAGGCACAGACCTTCTGGCATGATCGGCCCCAAACTATTTGTATTTGCCTGCTGGGCGAGGCCAAAAAACCCAAGTCAAGCTGCGGGGAAGGTGCCAGGCGTGCTGAATAAGCCTGTGCAGGTCGTGTCAGGCTTTCAGCAGCAGAGAGCCCTGTGTTTAATGGGATCGGGTGTGCCCTGGCCAAAGGGGAATAAATGTTACGCTGGGATGTGGCAGGACGTGGTTCTGGGTGGCAGGGATTGCAGTGGCTCTGCCTCACCCTGGGTTTTGCTGTCTTCATGCGTTAGGTGTGACCCCAGTGTTTGTGCAGCATCAGGACAAGGTGGACGTAACTACTGTGAGCATGGCCAGGAACTGGGGTATCCTTCCAGAAGATGAGTCTCTCCCCCTCAAGGTAGGGCCTTTCGCCTGCACACAGGTCTCACTTAAGACTCTTGAGAAAAATTCAGATGACACAGAGCAAGGGCCTCTGATGCTTGAGACATCTCAAGAGCTGGCAGCACAGTCAAGCTGGGTTGCTGCTTTGGGCTCACAAGCTAAAATTACCACAGCGTGTCCCATGTTGGTACTGAAGCTTCTGCTTTGTGGCCAGCTCATATGTATCTAAGTCGTAGTGTCATTTTTCTGCTCTGTCTTTAAAGCTTCTCACTGAGGCTGACTCGCTCTGCAGATTTTGGGGTTGGAGGGAGCAGGCAAGAAGCAGCAGCGCCTTGTGGTCTCACGGTTAATAGAATTAAACTGAGCAGGGAGAAGCCTTGCTGCCTCCGTTCCCAGGACTCACGTGTCCTTGGCTGTTTCCTTTGCTCACACAGGATTTTCCAATCCCCCCCCAGCCACGAGTGGGCATATAGCAAGGAGTACATGGATTTAAAATATTTGAAACAATCTTCAATGTTACTTCTTGAGCTTTGTGCTTATCTCTCTTGTGAGCACTGGGAGGCACCAGTGTACAAGCTAATGCTGTGTGCCTGGGCTGGAAGGGAAGCCAAGCAGCTGACACAGGGAGCCTGCACATTTTTTACCCTGCTTGTACAAATGCTATGGTTCTCCCAGTAGAATTTACTGTGGGATTCATGAAACGAAGGTAAAACACCCTGGGGACAGGAGGAGGATCACTTCAGGACTGCAAATCCACTTACCTATCTAGGCTGGAACCAATTTGTCAAAAGCAAAGTCACTGCACCTTCTTTTTTTTTGTCTCACTAGTCTTTAAGGAGGAAAGCATCGTTCTTTGTGCTAAATATTGGCACTCCTGGTCTGAGCATCCGGGCTTTGTTCTCGGTCTGAGGGATTCAGGAAGGGACTGGAAGGTTTCTGAAAGAAGAAACCAGCCATTTAATTAGTGAGAAGTCTGGAGGCATGCATGCATACATTTCTGGTACTTAATTCATCTGCGGTAACTGCTTGGAAAGTTAAGTCAGGTAGAAAGGGATTTGAGGCAAAACCTTGTTTCCAAAGCTCTGCTAATAAATGGGCAAAGGATGATACCACCCTTTACGGAGGAGCGGGAAGGTGGGGAACCTGGAGGGCAGCAGGCAGCTCTGGCAGTGGTGGGGGCAGAGGACACGTAGGGTTGCTTCCAGGCAGGACCTCAAACCTTGTGCTCTGCCCTGGGGCGCACCCCGTAAGCCAGTGCTGGGGGCAGAGGCCTGAGCTGGAGCTGACTGAGGTCACCGGGCTGCTTCCAGTGAGGTTTGAGAGGTGCTTTGCTGGTGCTGAAGGGGATCTTGCAGGATCTCATTAGTCCTTCCTCCTTCCCAGGGGTATGTGCTCTGTGATTAACTTGGTTTTATAACAACCACATCTTCCTCCTGCCTTTTTTTTTTTTTTTTTTTTTGCTGGCAGCAGTACTGATTTCTGTATTCCCTCTTCCACAATTGTGGGGAAAATTGGATGGGTGTAAAGAAGAAACTGGACC